AAAGCAAGTGTTACAGTGTTTTATTGGTTGTTTTTAAATGTCTGGAGCTGTTAATGTTGCACAGACATTCACACTGAGGTTAAACAGAAAGATGACAGAACATAGACCTCAGATACAGACCAAATATGGCAAATATTTTTTTATTTAGATTTATTCATTTAGCTGACGATTTTATCTAAAGCAACTTACAATTGCTAAGTATGTCAGAGGTCGCACACCTCTGGAGCAACTAGGGGTTAAGTGTCTTGCTCAGTGACACATTGATGTCTCACAGTGGATTTGAAATCGGGGCTCTCACACCAAAGGTATGTGTCTTAGCCACTGCGCCATCATCACCATACCTATGGTATGTTTTAATCCTATGTGAAGTGTCAGACAAATAAATCTTGAAAATCTTGGCTGATTAGTATAATCTATATGATTTAAGTCAGTGAAAAAAAAGTCAGGAAAAACATCTGCAGAGAATATGCAGATTTGATCACATGACTCTTGAAACTCTAGTCCGGACCACAATAAGAGAAGCTAAATTACAGGTTTGCATTGCAGTGCAGCGAGTAGCAGAAGTTTGTGTCACTCAAGGCAAATTGTTCAAGACTTTTTACTTTTTCACAATTAATGTGACTTTCCCTAAACTTCACCCTGGTTTTCCAGTGAGGTTGAAACAAATTCTCTAAATTGCTTGTAATTTCCAGATCTGACAAGTGTACCTGTAGTGTTGGCACTGTTTGCATCTAGTGCAGCTACAGTGCTGCTAGCATGTAAAACAATGATTTAGAGAAATGTGGAACCCTGAATGAAGAATATGTGGATGATAATACACTAGATTTTTCTGTCCGCGATGATCTTCATCTGAACTGCACATTGCGCATGTCCACCCTGTATGAGTGTGTGTCACAGTGACGTGGCTGTCATACTTTGCTAGGGTCAATAGTTCGCCCGCGCACACACACTCACACACACACACACACACACACACACACACACACACACACACACACACACACACACACACACACACACACACACACACACACACACACACACACACACAGACAATTTTGTGGATTTATTTTTGTTAAACATTATTTTTAACCAGGCAAGCTGGTTCTGTGCAATTGTAATTCACAATGACAACCTGAAAAAGAAGCAAAGGAGGAGGGGCAGAGATTTGGGATTAAGCAAAATGTCCTGTTTATAATATGTATGAGTGAAATGAAGAGAGGGGGAGAGACCGTGAGACTGAGTAAGAAAGGGATTTTTGAGAGAGAGAGAGAGACAGCGAGATGAGGACAAGGGCGACAAGGCCTTGACTGCGACCAGTTGAATCAACAGCTTCTCTCCTCTGGCTAGAACACGCTCGCTCTGCTCAAGCCTAATACCACAGACATGCCGTCACACACACAATATCTCTCTCTCTCTCATCCACCCTCCCTGCTGATTTTTCCTCCTGTTCTCCCTCTCTCTCTTTCTGTGTCCCTTTGTGACTTTTGCACATTTGCCTTGCCAGTAGAGTCCATGCATTGACAGAGCCTAGAGGAGGAGCAGAGAGAGAGAGAGAGGCAGAGCGAGGGGTGGAACATGAGGACAACAATGATAGCTCCAGTATATGACAACAACATCAACACAAATGATTGTCCTTGGGCTTGTTCTGCAGAAGTCGAGGCAGAGGGCACGCTACTCTCAAATACATTATGATGAATAAGTTGTTTTGTTGCCGGATAAGAAACAGTGGATATTTCATTGTATTCTTATTGGTGCATCACATCAGCCCTTGTGTGCACACAATTAGGGTGATACCCTAGTTTCAGTACCCTGAAACTGAGACACTGAAGACAACACTTTGGGCTCTGGGAACTTTGTCTAACTATTGTCATTGTATAAACTATATAATTAATTTATTAATTGCAAACATAGTGGACAGATTAATGGACAACTGCTATTAGTTGCAGCACCAGTATCAAAACAATACTTATTTTGTTTCAGTGCAGATCTTTCATTTTTTAATACTATAGTGCTTTGGACACATGACCAGGGGTCTCATTTATAAACAGTGCGTATGTACAAAACAGGGTTGGAAACGTGCGTACGGCACTTCCCAAGCAAAGGTTGTGATCTATAAAAAACAAACTTGACGGGAAAATGTGCGTCCTGTAAGTAAACTCTGAACCATGCGTACGCACATAATGAGGAGAAATGGGAAGAAATGAGAAACAGCGACTCTCACATGGCAGAAGGATGAAATGCTTTGAAATGAATAGACCTACTATTGTGTAAAATAAATCGAAATATCTGAGTATTAAGACCTTTCTGAATAAAAAACACCCGCTTGATTGGCCTTCCCCTGGGCAAAAAACACACACAATTTAAGATCATTTGCAGCGCACAAAAATATCCAGATTTAGGATCATAAACACAAACAGAGATTATTTTTCTGCAAAAGAACACAAATATTTTGTGCAGTTTAATTCAGAATCATATTAATTAATACTTGTATGCAGTGCAATTTATTCTCATAAATAAGGTGAACATGAGGACAAATGACATTTAAATCGATGCTGTTTTCAATGCGTCAGTGGAGCAAATGCGAGTGCATAGTTTCATATTGCCTATTGTAATCAGATGTTCGTTGCCTTTTTGAGGCTAAGGCTATGCGCCAGCATGTGGATTTGATGGGCTGCTTGGCGTTACAGACAATATAACACTATTTTATTAAAGAAATCTTTCAGTGTGTGTCATATAAAACAAGTCATATTTCTTTTAATGCATCAGTAGCCTCATTAAGTGAGTGGAGTGTTTGTGTAGCTTAAATAAATGTTTAAACACAAGTGGAATGCATTTTGTTTACTATCTTTTCAAGTTGGGAAATCCAAATTAGTACCTGGGTCATCTCATCTTGCATGTGTGTGCCCCTCCAGCCAGTGACGTCACTACTCAGGAGGGAAGCCCCTTCCTGCAGATCAGTTATAAAAGGGTGGAGCCTTTCCTCCGGTGCACAAGCGCTGTGTGAAAGTGTGTTTTTTACCCACCAAACAACATTCTTCAGCTTCACCAAAAGGAGCCTCAGTGTCACACTGAGTTAAATTTCATTTTGTAGCTTTTCAGTCAGAATTTGCATCCTTTAGCAGTTAGTATAGTATATAATAGTATTTGAGTGGAAGCTAGGGTCCTAGAAATGTAGTCTAAGAAGTGTGGTCCTAAAACTGCATACTCCTCTATTGCAGAAACATCATCAAATTCACTCGGTGGCGCTGTTGCAAAAAACAAGGGTCCTAGAAAAACAGGCTTATGACTGCAGGTCCTGAAAATGGCAGCCTCCTTTCCTGCAGCTGTATGGTATAGGGACCAGGTCAAACATACTGAAATGAGGTATTCTATGGTTTTACAACAGTTTCCGTCAGTATGATGCTTCACCCAGCAGCATCATCTCTTCCGAACACTTTTTCTTCCACTTCCACATCTTCATTCTTCCTCCTCGAGTCATGTTCTTTTCTATCTATAATTTAAGCATGTGGACGTGATCAAGACAACTTGTTGAAGTTCAAACCGAGCATCAGAGTGGGGAAGAAAGTGGATTTAAGTGACTTTGAACGTGGCATGGTTGTTGGTGCCAGACGGGCTGGTCTGAGTATTTCAGAAACTGCTGATCTACTGGGATTTTCACGCACAACCGTCTCTAGGGTTTACAGAGAATGGCCCAAAAAGGAGAAAATATCCAGTGAGCGGCAGTTGTGTGGATGAAAATGCCTTGTTGATGTCAGAGGTCAGAGGAATGACACATTGTCGCCTGGTCTGATGAGTCTCGATTTCAGCTGCAGCATTTAGATGGTAGGGCCAGAGTTTGGCGTAAACAACATTAAAGCATGGATCCATCCCGCCTTGTATCAACGGTTCAGCCTGGTGGTGTGATGGTGCGGGGTATATTTTCTTGGCACACTTTGAGCCTTTTAGTACCAACTGAGCATCGTGGTCGAACGGGAGATTTGCATCATGGATGTGCAGCCGTGAAATCTCCATCAACTGCGTGATGCTATCATGTCAATATGGACTAAAGTCTCTGAGGAATGTTTCCAACACCTTGTTGAAAGAATGCCACGAAGAATTAAGGCAGTTCTGAAGACAACAGGGGGTCCAACCCGGTACTAGCAAGGTGTACCTAATAAAGTGGCCGGTGAGTGTGTATATGTGTATATATATACATATTTTTTTCTCAATTGCTTTAGCAATTTAAACTTCTGTTTCCCATGCATATACAGCCCCAATTAATTGAATTGAATGAAATTGAGAGAGGAGGAGAGAGAGTGAGAGAGAGAGAGACACACACACACACACACACAAACAGCTCAATAAGATGGCCGTAATTAACCTATAATACCATCAAGGAACTTTATCCTTGATACCAAAAAGCCACTGCCAACCAAATTAAACACCAATTCACAGAATGTGTGTGTGTGTGTGTGTGTAGGTCATTCAATGTCCCTCAGGTTGTGAGGGACATTCTTAATTTTAATTTTGAGAGGTTTTAACCATTTGAAATCTGAAATTACAGAGTCGAACTTAAAGTAAGTAAACGTTCCTTATTTCACTGAATATTTTACATTGTAGTAGGAAGTGTATCTCTGTCTCAACCTTACCTGTCAGTGACCACACAGATTTCTTTTGGATGCCATACCTTTTCGTGTCTTAAATTATTTTGATTGCCAATTTGTGGCCTCTGAGCCTGTACTTGGTTAGAATCTGTCTCTGATTTCTAACTCTGAAAGTAGAGAGATATTCTGCCAATTCATAATCTCTTTTTAGGGCCAGATAACATTCTAATCTCTCCCTCTCTTTCTCTCCCTCTCGCCCTTTCTCTTTCTTTCTCTCCATCTCCCTATCTCACTCTTTATCACCCTCTCTCCCTTTTCCTCTCTCTCTCTCTCTCTCTCTCTCTCTCTGTCGCTCTCTCTCAGCTCTCCTCATGTTTGTTCACACTGCTCCTCTCAGCACCCAGCACTCAAGGTGCTGCAAGAGGGAGAGAGCAAACACAAAGAAGCACAGAGAAGCAGAGACAGAAAGCAGAGAGAGCACAGTTAATCAGAGACACACGAGACAGAGGGAGAGGAAACAAGACAAATCAAGGACTAAGTGCAGCTCAGTTTAGGACTTGACGAACGCTCATCCAGCTGGCTTAAGGTTGTCCTCATTCACTCAGCTGTGAACGAGTGTCGGGAAGAATGGATTTTATTTTGGTCCAGCAGCCACTGAGCAGGAACAGTAGCTCTGTAGATTATCACTCCTTTTGGATTATCTGACAGCATGCAGAAAGGAAGATGGTAATGTGACAATCTGCTCTGGTTGTGCTATTTCTTCCATTCTGTTCTGTCTTTGATGAGTGATCACAAGATTTTCTCATTTTTGTTTGGATTTTTTGCTATATCTGTCACCCTTGAATCATACTTTTTAAACTGGCATGTACTACTGAATTAATGAAAACGTATAGTTTTTAAATAACATTGCATAATTTAATTTTAAAGTGTTTCTCCTCTGTGGCTCTTGTTATAGCTGTTACTAACAGTGTAAGAGCTGTTGGTTGGTATTGATTTATTTTGCTAATATCATCTGTTGGCAGACTTCTGACAAATACTGAGCTTGTATCTATATTACAGTATTATAACAACCTGTCTAAAGGTGTTAGATGTCCTGTGGAGTTTCAGCTTCCTGGCGTTCAACTCATAATCCATCATTTTCCTGTCATAGCCTCTCTGTGAGATGACAGCGAAGGATGAGGTGCTTTATGTTACTTCTACTTTATATGGTGACGTGAAGTCACTTTAGTTCTAAAACAACAAGTTGAATTAATGAATTAGACTATCATCAGAAAATTAATTAACAGTTTTGATAGATACAATTTATAAAACAAAAACATTAGCTGATTCAAGATGCTCAAATGTGAGGAATTGCTCTGTTTTTCAGACAAAAAAAGTAATTTGAAGACATCAGATTTCTCACTATTTTCTCATGCAGATTAACTAGTTATACATACCTTGCCTATTTTAAACACATTTTAAATTAATGTAGAATGTCCTTAACATATAAGACATGGCAGTTACAGCACTGTCTCCTTTTAAAATATTACTTCAGTCAATATTAATACGTCCTGACAAGTAGCCTTTTATGTTAAAACGTGCATGTACTCTGTGTACAACGTACAGCATAGCTCTCATAGCTTACACTGGCTGCTGCTCTCTCCTGAAGTGTTTTGACTCAAGGTGAAGGGCTCAGGTTACAGAGCATTAAGGCAGATTTCACAAACCAGCCACTGTATCTGCCTCCTTCCTGGATCCCCATTTACTGGCATGTGAGTCATGCAGGAGCTAAAATAGATCTGGTGTGAAAAATACATCCTACCCTACAGCATCAGGGAGGTGAAATTGGGAATCTGTGTACGGATTTGGAGTTTGAAACACTCTTTTTTTGGTCTGTTGAGAGTCTCAGCCTCCTTATTCTGATGATTTTTGTTGTTGTTGTTACACCTACCTCGGTTGCAGAGAGGGTGTGCCCGGTTGTACATAAAGTAGATTTTGCTTGGAACCCACTGACTGGGAGGATGTTATGTAGACAGCTGAATTTTAAAATGCCCGCCTAGCTCTCCTGTAGGTTTGATTTGGCACACTCTATGTGTGTGTGTGTGCCGCTGTGATTTTCCCGCCCTGTTTCCTGCATATTTGCCATGTCGTTGAAGCCAGAGTCCATTAACACGACTATTCCTGTTTTGGGAGTGACCTCAATGTTTGGCTATTTGTTCCTGTGTTCACCAGGTTACACAGAGCATCCTTTTTCTCTCAGCAGAAAGACATCTTGTCCCCTCCTGGTGATTCAATGGAAATACACAACAGTCAGCTCAAAAGCTCTGTTTGCAAACCTACAAATCATCACCTCGCCTTTACCTGGAGCCCGCTCGTTTATGTTGCTTTGGCTAGGAACTACGCGGCATCTGCATTCAGAGTACACAGCATGTCTGAAGATACAGAGAACTTTTCAATGACACTAACTTTGAGTTGACATGACTCACTGACTGAGCTGTTTAAAGTGTTTAACTTTGATGAGTGTGGACAACTGCAAAGTGTTAATTTTTACTCTCTGGCCAAAATATATACTGATCATTTCCCTGCCTAGTGTTGAGATTCAGTGCATCAAAGCGTTTCTAATAGTATGTTTCAGCCAAGGTTTTTGCAGAGCTGCACATCATATGAATACAATCAAATATCAGAGCTTTATATGAAGTCCCAGTTAGTGCGATAATAACTGGATGTATAGGTGTCTGCGCAATATTAGGATCTAACATGATATATTTAAAGTATTTATAGTATATATAGATATATTTTGATGTCAGGTCTGATTACTGCATGACTGGGTGTAGTTCATCTTGGTTTTCACCTGTTTTTCCTGTATCTAAGTGATCATTTCTGGTTGTTGTTTGTTATGAAATCTGCCAGTGTGACTTACATTAAGCAGCTGTGGGCTAATTACAGATGAGCTGAGTGTGTCAGTGAAAGCTAAGCCACACTTTGATGTAATAACACGCCTCACACACACACACAGCGCAGACACGTCAACTCACTCATGGTGAGTTTAAAGACGTGCTTAAAGTCTCAGCTCATTCATAATTCACTGACGTGTTTTTAATAACTTAAACACAGTCCTCACTGCCTCCTGACTGCTACTTTACAGCCACCTTCAAACCGTCCTGCTGATCAAGGCCCTCATGATTAGTGTTTTCCTTCCGTAAGCTCCGATTTGCTGATCCCTGTGAAGCTACAAAATATACTGTCTGGCTGTCTCAGTGGTTCAGTGGTCATGTACACTAGCTCTACTCAGCCAGTGTTTATGACCAACCTTAGTGTAATTTGGTTTGTGCTTGGGTGTCACCGGGTGTGTTGAGATAGCGAGCCACAAGATGTTGCACTTAGAAAAAGAAATGGATAAAGACAAGAAAAAGAACTTTTGCTGCTCTCTTTGTACCTTTTAGCCTAAAGGTGCAGCTTTTAGGCTAAAAGGTACAACGTTGTATCTATTCAGTACATCCATTTACTAAAGATGGAATTTGGTACCTTTTCTCTGTGTAATCTCTTTTTCTGCGGCAGATTTCCAAGCTGTAAATAGCCTTGAATAGTAAATTATTTACACAAAAAAGGTTCAAGAGACATATCAGATGTTTTTGGGCAACCTGAAAAGATCTGAGAAGGTGCATATTATCATTTTAAATCTCTGTTTGGGCTGTTGTTTAAGGCAGCAACAATCTAGGGAGCCAATAAACTAGCATTAAACATCAAAGCAAGGACATGCTCCTCTGATTTAATCAGATTTATGCTTATTTGCAATGTCAAATTATAATATTGTCTACAGTGATGGTGAAGAAAAAAGATATGAGGATAAAGAATAAAGGTAATTTAAGGATAGCAATTAAAAATAATGAAAAAATAGACACAACACCGAAGGTTAAACTCCTCCATCTCCTTTTGAAAACAAAGACATAGTACAAGTATAGTGCCTTCATGATGCTAATCAGCTACTTAAGTAAGTTTGTTGTTTTCAGAAAACATGATGAATAGTTTTGACATGTTGCTTCTTCCCCATTAAAGAATCTCAACTTTTGTAGGCATCTGTCTGCTTTACTTTTTGTCTGGTGTTAAGTATTTCTGTGCTTTATCGATTGTTCTGGGGTTTGTCACTGCACAACTTCTGCATCAGCACTAATCTGTTTACTGCACAATTGAGTTTTCCTCCAAATAACAAAATAGTTAAGATTGTCTGTCACTATTGGTGTTTCTTGGTCAGGGCACGTGTGCCGAGAGGCGCTGTCATTTTGTCAAAGTTGTCATTTTCAGTGAATGGCTCAACAGAGCAGCAGGCTGAAAACAGCAGTTCATCAGAGTGCTGTGACGCAGATGTTAGTGAAGGTGTCCTTCCTGCTGTGCAGAGATGCAAAAAGCCTCTGTATGAAGGTTTTGTTGTTGTTGTTTTTGATGTTGTACATATAGTTTTAGGCAGTTTTGTTGTGCAGTGGGTGGCAATACTCAACTTGGTGGGAAGTAATAGCAGTCTTAACATATTTGCACATCAATGCAAATATGTTAAGCTGTGGCTTGGTCTGGAAACGACATTGGCTTCTTACTGACTAAGCAACTAAAAATGTTCACCGCCAGTATCTATCCAGAAGGTTAAAAGTCAAATTAAGGAGCTTTCATACTTCCTCTGATTTTAATGAGGCACAGCAGGGTATACAACGGTGAAGATAATGGGCATGGTTTTATGAGTCTGCTTCTGTACACTCAAAAATTCACACGAAAGTCTGAGGTTGTAAGCAGGCCAAACGTCTTCTCCAAACAGTAGCCTAACAGTATTTAAATCATGTGTTAATTTGTTCCAGTGTTCGCTACTTTGTTTGAGTTGTACAATAAGTAAATTTGTCACTGTAAGCATGATCAACTGAGCTGAAAGACTTGAATGTGATTAAAAGGACACATGTAAGGCGATTTATCTTCATGTTCAAAAGAAACAACACTTTAGGAGTGAAAGAAATGCTGCCAAAAAATGCTTTGTGTTCACTGCCAGTTTAATATCAGATATCTTACATGAATATATCACTGTTATATCTAAAGTGAAGAGAAAAGAGTTAATAAGCCATGACTGGAGACACAGGTCACACCTGCTGATGCTGTGTCTTAAGTGGTGTAGCTTCATCACTTTAATAAACTAGAAACTCTCATTTAGATTTTCATGTCCAGTTTTGTGATTAAATGCACACAGTTTTCTGTCTAAAACACATATGAATATAATATGTTCTTTAAAGTTCCTCAAAAGTCAAGATTGTTGGGTATACATAATTCCATAATGCTCACGGAAGTCATAATAATGACCTGGGATGAGAGAACTACTTCCTGTTCATATATTCATGTCTGTCCCTCAGCTCTTATTTCTGTGGGCAGCAGGAAAACCATTTAAAGTAGTCTATGTAATCCAGGGGGGAAGCTGTGTATATGAGCTTGTTTCTTTTTTTACATTGAAAAACCGCAGAAGTAAACACAGGAAATGGATTCTTTCATGCTTATTTAGAGGCAGTATCAGTGTCTGTAGAGCTTTGAAGTTTAGCCAGATCACATCAGTTTTGTTTATTGTGCTTCACATATTTCTCAGGCATTTGTTGAATATTTCTGATGATACTTCATTGGACTAATAAACTTAATAAACTGAGGGGAGGTACCATAGTTATTTAAATAATAAGTAAAGACAAAATTAATTTGCTATTGAAGTTAATGGACAGTTGCAATCATGGAGTGTCGCATCCAAATATAAAACTGTTTTACAGTTTATTTGGTTTCTATAGCAAACTCTTAAAACCACTGAATTCAAGTTCAAGTTTATCTCTTATAAATACAATGTGAATATTTTAATTCTTTCCAGGATGTAGTTAGTTCATGTTGTTTACCATGTCGTCACCTCTCCTTCTCACCACATTTCCTGTCACTCTGTAACAGATACTATCAAATGAAAAATGCTAAATTCCCCAAAAACATTTAAAACAAAACATAATGTCACAATTGAAGACAAACTGTATAAGGTGATAAATGTCCCACAAGAATGTAATAAGTCACAATGCATGCTTTCCTTTTTTCATCGTTAAATATTGGTTCTTGTCCAGGCAGGAACTTGTTTGACATCAGGAATGTGCAGAGACTATTTCTGTTTCATAATGATACAGGACAGAGATATTCAAACTGTCCTCAGCTCCCGCACTGGGACATCTTATCCGCAGTAATGTAAGCATCGGCATTTCTTTCATTGAGTGACAGAGTTCCTTATGTACATACAAAACATATATCTTTAAATGCATTTAAATCCAAGGTAAATGTCTGTTTTCCATGCCGATAAAGCCCCTTTGAATTAAATTTAATTTAACTGAAATTGAGATCAGGGTGTTTGTATAGAGCAACAGTGAGCTGGCCTGAGCAGAAGGACACAAATAAACAAGAAAATAAAAAAATACACACTCAACAATGCATGGTAACTGGTAACAGCTTCAAACAGCATTACATTTGCAAGTCAGCCTTCACATGTATTCTTGTAAGCAGACATATAGTAGCCCTGACTGGTGTCTTCCTTCTCACAGCTGACTCATATTACCAGCAGTGTTACTACACTCTAAGTAAAATTTCACTCTCTATTTGTAAGCACTCCAAAGCATTTCTAGCCTTATTTTGTTTATTCATTTATCACCATTGCCAGGGGACCCAACGCAACATTTTGTTTTCTTCTCACATTTAAATTTCTGTAATTTCCAAGTCGGCTTTGCAAAGAAACACAGACCTCCCTCGCTGACAATTGAGAAAAAACACTGTGGCTTAGTAACATTATTTAAGAGTTGATGAAGCAGGTGCTCATTTCATTCTTTAGAATGGGAAAACATTTCATTTAAATCTTGTGAGCTGTGGACTGAATTTCTTATAGTACATATTATCACCATGTTCACTTTCATCTTATTTGATCACCATTATCCTCACGATGACTATATCTGTGTTTTGTTCCAACGGGGTGTGGTAGGACTGACCAGAAAGCTCTGAGTCACAGTGTTGTTTCTGGAGCTGTGGGGGCTGCGGACTGGTTGAGAGTCCAGCATTTTTAGATCATAATGTAAGGGGATAAGACAGAGAGGGTGGATGACCATTGTTGCTTGAAAGAAACAGGCAGAAGCAGATAGACACAACAAACATATAGGGCCACAATACAGAATAGCAAAAATAATTGAGTGATAATGTCCACTTGTTACAGTGCAGATCCTACCAGTCTTAAGTCCTGTTAAGAGCCAGAGTGGTACATTTTTCCTTTTCAAGGGTGCAGAGAAGGAGATGCACGCCAGTTAGCAGTGCTGAAGAGGCAGTGAGCCAGTGTTAGTCTGAGGGGACATATTTCATCACACCCCAACACACCCTTCTCTGTTTCCGTATCCCTACTGTAATCCATGTCTGTCTCTCTTCATCACCACAGCTGGGAACAGTTAAGTTCAGTGGAATTATTTTAACAAATAGATATGAGACCAGTATCGAACTTATTATTTAACTCTCTGCCGGAAAGTGAATAAATGTATTTTCCAAAATGTCAAACCATTCCTTTAACCTAAATGATTCATTCAACTCAAGACTGGATGATTTTTAAACTAAGAAGGATTTTCACATGCCTTCTCCGTTTACTTGCTTCTACACTGATATTGATGTAATCTCATACAGTAAATGAAACTGAACACATGCATTCCATATATCTCTACATGTATACAATAACGCCGAGGTTTGTTGCAGTGGCCTTTGCTGGGCTAAATAAAGCAGGGCCTAAAAGTGGGCAGCAGGACGTGAGTTCAGGTCAAAGGGAATGTGAAACCATAAACCAGGAGGCGAGCTAGCCTTGAGACCAGCCATCACACATTGTGTTTACTTGGTTGTTAGCTGTCAGGCTGGGTGACTACATGTTTGTGTAGAGTGTTTGTGTTTGTGTAGCTATTCTCTCAGCTGGTCACGAGGTTGCAGACAAGGCATGTGTAATTTACTGTGAGATGCCAGTGAGATGAAATTGACAGACTCAAGGTTTCTTGTAGTTTAGGATTTCTGTACATTACAGGAGCCTTAAGTAATACATTTTCCATTTTTTATTTTAGAGTTTGACATCATTTATCAAGCAAAATCTAATAAAATCCATAAAATTGTTATATGTTGTAACTGAATATTTTCAAATGTAATGATTTGTAGGTTTTCTCTGTTTTATATCATTGTGAATTAAATATGTAATTATTCAATACAAAACTAACAATGTCAATTTATCTCCTTGAGCTCCTGTAAATTCTGATGGACATTTTAGTGACTGATTGATTCATCGAAAAAGTAATCTGCAGATTAAACGATAACAAAAATAATTTTTCGTTGCAGTGAAGATTTAAATTTCATTCAAAAGGCATGACTGTTTACTTCTAAAAGCAAACTGAATAAGTAACAGTAGTGCTTCATTGTTTGCTTCTTTAATTGAGGTGGAAATGTCATATTGTCTTGGCTTGTTTATGTCATTGTCTTCCAGTGCTTCCAGCAAAACATAGGATAGGTGGGAGAAAAGTGAAAGTCACAAATTATCACATGGCAAGGTATTCTTCAAATCACAAGTGTAAAATGAATAAGCTGTATTCCTCACTGTGAGAAAGACACTGATTCATGTGTAAATCATTCACGTGTAAGGAAACATTAGGCTTGATCGAGCTTGAAATAACTCCAAACTGCTTAATACCTTATTTTTTAGCTCCCTCCATGCTATGTTAGCTCTCCCAGCAAAATGTCCGGGTCTACCGGCGCACTGCTGGCGCATAGTATGCACATAATTGCATTGAATAGATCACCGCCATATATTGGCCCGCTTTTACCTGATCTATCTGTTTGAGTCAGTATCGGGCCGAAATCTGATTTCAGAATGGGATCGGTGCAACCCTACTGATGAACAAAGCTTTTATTAGCCTCTGCTTTCTCTCTCTTGTGTTTTCAGAACCTTGATTCTCTGGAGGGCTCAATCCAGAACCTGCTGTCAGAGCTGTACCCGCCCTTCGAGGCCACCGCCCCTACTCTTCTCAGCCAGCTTTTCCAAGTCATCGATTGTCGTTATCAGGGAGATGCCCTGCGGTGCCTGCTGGACTTTCTGGTCCCAGCCAAGCACATCTTAGACACTGTGCAGCAGGCTGCATGTGTAAGTCACAGTGGTGTGCTAAGCCTGTGTGTGAGTCTAAAGAGACTTACATTCACTAAATTTGTTAATATGAAAGAAAGCTGCCCTGTGATATTCTTGCTGAATAATAAATATAGACAAAAATGTTGATGTACTTGTAATTTCTGAAACCCTATACTGTCATTATCCTTGTCCCCTTCTAGGCTCAATACTCTGATGTACTTTTCCAGTGTGAGGGCTGGCCTCTATGTTTGCATGACCAAGTTGTCATCCACCTCGCTCCCATCAACCCCCTGCTACTTAAACCTGGCGACTTTTACCTCCAGGTGGCAACATTCTGTGACCAGTCAGCTCGCATCGTGGTCTGCAGCCTCCTGGAAGAGGAGGGGCTTAGAGTGGAGGTAGTCGAGGAGACCCCAATCCCTGAAACTTCCTATCCTTGTATATTCAGCTGTGACTGGTTAGTAGACATCAACCAGGGCCGCCATGGAACGCCTCTCAGCCAATGCCTGCTTGCCACCGAGCAGGGCGTGGTGAGGTTACCATGGGAACGGGTGGCCGTGCCTGAATTTGTGGACGTGTCACTGTGTGCACGGAGTAGCATGGCCTCTGCTCCTCCTTCATATCCTCCTTTAGCACCTCTGCATCCTCACCCTCCACCTCTTCCTCATTTTCCTGAGAATTCTTCATCAAATTTTTCAGTTCCTTTTTCCTCTTCAAAGGAATCTGCAACGAAACAGTATCCTGTAACCATTCAAAATTCAATTTTAACATCTTCTTCACATCCCTCCACCTTCTCTGTAGAGACCAGAATATGTCCAGCAAAGCACGGCATTGCTGTCTCACTCTGCTTGGTGGATACCAGGGCTGCTTCTTCATCTAGGCCGGTCAAAGGGAAAGAAACTGAAACAGAGCCTAAGCCTGTTGGCTGGGTGTCCCCTAATACATGGGACAGTTGTTTTACTGGGGCAGATCCAAATACAGGTACAAAAACAAGCCCTGTTTTAGGTGCATGCACCCCTGATAGTGGAGATACAAACAGGTGCAAAGGTGAACATAAGGGCTTAACAGATAGATATAAAGATACAAACTCTCAAGAAATACGCAGGAGTGGGCCAGCGGACCACATTGTTGCAGAAGGAGATTATATTGATATTCTGCAGGCAACTATGCTTTTTGGTAAAGCTCAGTCAGCAACTCCAGAACAACAGAAATTAGAAGTACAAATACAACCACACACAAAAATTGAACCACAAATGCAAAGACATCCACACAGACAAACACATGTGCAAATGGAGTCATACAGGCAAACACAAAGACAGCCAAACACACAGACAGACCCTCAAGCACAGTCGCAATCACTCGTGCCTTTACCTACAAAACCACAAACACAAATTCATTCTAGATCAGAGGTGGTTGTATCATTAAGGCCTAACATCTCCGCAGAAACAGCACCTTCATCTGCTCTCCACCATTCCCAATCCCAATCCTATCACACTCACCCTGAATCCCTTGAACCTTCTCAGTGTGTCCGTACTGTCCGGTTCTCAGAGAAACCCTGTACTCCGTGCATGAGGAGAAGACAAGGCGGAAATGTTTCGAGAGCTCAGGAGCTGAGGTGTCGATACAGGGACTCCTACCAGGCTGCTATACAAAACCCTGTCACCTTTGGACAGGAAAAAGAGAGGGGCAATATGTTAGCTGTGGTGGTGGAGGATAGGGTTTTCTCACAGTGTGATGACAGACACATGCTACCAGAGACTGAAGCAGGGGATCCCTGGTGTAATGTTCAAGGAATGTGGTTTGATCCTGGAATGCAACACCAGTCGTCTTCCTCTGTCAGTGGAGCCATCTGTAAGGAGTCAGGAGAAATGAACACTGTTACATATTGGCAACCAGGAGATACAAACACTGCCCCCTGTATGGATTACAGGGGAACACATGTTTTAAAATGTGGTGGGCTACCAGAAAAGACGATTCAAACGACCTCTCTGCCATTTAGGGAACCAAGGGATGCACACTCTGCCAACACTTATGGCAATTTACACAATGTGAATGGGACAAATTTAGCAGCAGAAAGTGGGATAAACACTAACAAAGCGTTGTCGAGTTTCAATGATCCTAAACAGTCAGATGTGATTCCTGCCAAACACAACCGATTACCATTTTGCTCACGTGAAATTTCAGCAGTGAACATGACTCTCAAGCCTCGTGAAAGACCAAAAAGCAATTCCATGGGAGTTGGGAGTCCAAACCTTTTTAGGTCTGTTGCAGTGCCACAAAACAGACGGGAATCCACGTCAGATGGAAGATGTTCATCCCTCTCCACAGCTGTGGTGGACACCTCAGAGAAGTGTGAGCTGGTCATTGTTGAAGGTCAGAATGTAAGGAGAAGAGAAAATACTGACTCCTGTGCAGAGATTCCACAGCTGCATGTGGTCAAATGTAAAAACAGCACAGCCTTTCGACTGGTGTCACCTAAGATCAACAGGAGGAAGATGGTCATTCCAGGTACAGACTAATGTTCTTATTACCTGTTCTACACTTTAGCATGGAAGTTTCATTTGGTTCATTTCATTATTGTTTACTACCAGATGAAAATCAGTCTTCATCAGCTTTCCTACAACAAACTGTCTACAGATGGTGCTCAGCCTGGCAGTAGAAATGGCCACCAGACGGAGAACCCGTCACAAACACATCCACCTCCAGCAGCAAACACGCAGACAATCTCCCAGCCTGCCTCTGCTCGTCCCAGACCTGACCACCTTCCCTTGGGATCACCAGACCCCAGAGCCCACCCCCTCTATTTAGGAGTAGCATCTCTCACAGGTAAGTTAGTTTGAGACACAGTAAATAACATCGGATAAACCACAATATTCATAATAGTCCGCATGCATTGTTTGGCAGCTTTTAATAAGCAGAGTTACAAAGTTCTTCACAGTGCATAAAAGGGCAAACCATACAAATGAGATTACATAAAATATATCTGTATTAAAGAAGTAATTAATAGCTTCCCTAAAGACAGAAAGACATTACAATAAAAAGTTCAGTTATACAAAAGAAAAGCAAGTTCCAAGCCAATTTTCTTTTGTTATATCATAAAAAATTTTTTTTTCTGAAATGGCAATAAATCTGTTTGCTCTTCTTTCTTTTGGCTGTTTGGTTTGTATGAATTCTAGTACCTGTTGGCATCCCTGCATTGTCTTTGTTCTTCAAGGCTTTGCTGTTTTTGCACATTTGATTTGAGCCTTTTGTACTGTTCAAAGTACTTTAAAAAACAACTAGTTCTAAACATACAGAATAACTATTTTTATGAAAACTGTAATAAATAGTTTGATTGAACTGTTTCTGTACTTCCATGGGAGACTAGAAGGTGCCATAGTAGGGCTGTCCACGACTAAGGATT